TCAGAGCTATTTTGGCAGTATGTGTCATGTATATGGACGAGTGTTTTGGCTCATTTGCTAATCAAAGAAATATACTGTGTCAAACTAAGAGAGTATGAAACTGAAATGTTAATTTCTTATTTTCATTCCTTGTTTTTTCTTTGTATTACAAGCAGGCATATTTATACAAGTAGAAGTACAAGTAGGACAAAATGCCTTGAGCTCCAAACCTTTGAATCCCCAAAGACAAGCCCCCCAAATTACGCAACCAACCTCCCCAAATTCAAGTAGGCTCCTAACGCAACCCCATTAATTAATTAACAAACTAACTAACTCATTAATGAACAAGCAAACAATCTAACTAACACTCCCCCTCAAGTTGGTGCATAGATGTCATCAATGACCAACTTGCCATAAGAGTTGTGAAAAGATTGACAAGAGACTCCCTTTATTAATATGTCTGCATCAAGCTTCTTCTTAATAAAATGTCGATCCACTTCAACATACTGAACATTCTCATTCCCTCTGCTCTATTCTTCCTCTTCTCTGTATACAGATTCTATAAACAATTCTATTTTGGCTCATATAACAAAACCAAAAATCCTCAAACATTGGTCACAGATTCAACAAATTTCACAACCCCTTTTGTATCTGCAGCGAACCAACTGGGTTTGGTCATATTTGGTCGGTTAAAATGATCTAAACCTCATTTAATAACTAAACAAGTCAGCTTTAGATCACTTGAGGCAGCAACCATTGTAATCAAATAAAGGACAAATCACCACCACAAACAACTAGGTGGTACTAACCACAATCATGCAGCAAGATCCAGTCAACGTAGACAAAAGGTCAGAGAGTACTGAGTTCACCACAGGAGGAAAAAAAAGATAAATTAAATTATATAAAATCTAAGTGTTACCAGCAGTTTCTAATCACAGAGACTTTCTTGGACCTACGTAAACTCATTTATGGCATACCTTCTTCTTCAAACTTATATCCCAATCTTCATCCCAGTCAGCATCTCCTTCTTGGATGCCCGGTTGCCAGCCTTATATAAAAGCAAAGAAAAGTTTCAAACGGCCAAATGTAATATAATAACTACAAATATTGCGGCAGTGAAACTATAAAGACAAAAAAAAAGACACTCATGAAACCCTACAGACTTTGAACAAGTTCAATCCATCCTGTTACATGTTTTCTTTTTGACAAACAAATCAGAGAGATTTGCAAGACTACATAAGATTTCCAATGATTTCAGCTTCTAGAAAGACAATGATTTCAGCAGTGAACGGAAATACAACCTTCCGTTCCAAATACCATTTTTTGAAGACTGTTTTCATAGCAGTGCCTAATATAAGGGTCCTTATTGCCCCGATTTCTAGTAGTGAGGAATCGGTATTAGCACTCCAAAAAAGTTATCATGCACTCTTCTTTTATTTTTATCATGGTTCTCGAACATGCACAATTTTGAACCTCAATTAATATTCTCTAATTAGAATATGGAAACTAATAGTTACAGACATTTCTTGAAAAATCAAGTTGATTTCTCTCAACATAGGGATCAAGTTTCCTCCTTTTATTTCATCCCTCTATAATGTTGTTCAGATTTTAATTCGATCCCTTGAATTCTCACCACCTATAAAGAAGGGGTAGATGTCACAAGTGCTTAATGAAGCTCATTAATTATAAGCAGCTTTGGAGATATAGCTTTCCTAAACGAAGCTAGTGTCATGCAGAGGCTAAGCGTGACTGCATTGTCCACTTTGAGTTGAGATAATGGGAGGGCACTACTGGACTCAAATCTTAATAGTGGTACTGTGCCAAACTTGGACTTCGATTAAAATGAACTCCAAACGTGCAATTGATCCACTAAGAAAAAACTATATGAGAACATGATAGTTCAGTCCACTGTGAGAGAAGTGCCCAGACAATAAGATTTGTTTATTTGAAATCCACCATATTCCTTGCAATGCAAAAGACCCATTTGCAGGTTTTAGATGCATACCCATGAAATCCCAAATGAAATAACTATACTTAAAAATAAAGGGGCGTCTAGATTTTCATCCTTAGATAAGATGCTTTTTTTTTATAATTATTAAATCAAGTTTTAGTTACATATATTAGTTTGATTGCATTCATATTCATATATATATATATATATTAGATGCATACCCATGAAATCCCAAATGAAATAACTATACTTAAAAATAAAGGGGCGTCTAGATTTTCATCCTTAGATAAGATGCTTTTTTTTATAATTATTAAATCAAGTTTTAGCTACATATATTAGTTTGATTGCATTCATATTCATATATATATATATATATATATAAATTTTCTCTAATGCAAACGTTCGCATATTGTTAAAATCCGGTCATCCCCTCTACACCTTTTTTTTTTTTTGCAGTTGGATTGCATCTCTTCAATTCCAAGTGGTCCATAATTTGTATATATAAACAAAAACATGTTGCAAGGGCCGTGATAGCAACCAATGGGAGTGCTTTCTTCTTCTGCAACTCCACTTTCCCACATGTGGGCTTTTATATAAATTATTTATATTGGCAAATTGTGGACTACTTGGAATTTCAAGAATCCAATCCACCTGAAAAAACAAGTTGTGAAAGGGACAACTGGAATTTTCAGAGCATGTGGACTGCTTGGAATTTCAAGTTTCCTATATATATATATATATTCCCTATTACGATCGAGAACCGTCTTTATCAACCATAGTGTATGAAAAAAATTAATCGTACACTATGTATGAATAAGATTATGTTTTTATTATTGTCTTGTCCTGCCGTGCTGTGACTTAACTTTTTAAGATTTACAATATACTTAAGTATTCTGTTGTCTGTATGAGCAAAATGCTCAAGGGAGAATATTCGCAAGAGATTCTTCGCCCTTTGAGAAATATGTGGAGATAATAGAAAGATCGGAGTTTTCTCTACGGTACCGGGAGAGAGTGCCGCGAGACAGAGGGAATTCGGCGGCTCGGCTTTGAGTGGGAGTTTAGGATTACCTCATGAGTGTTGTGTAGTCATGTATTTATAGTCTACTCACTTGGTTAGGGTTTGAAGAATAATTCTTTTTTATTGGATTATTCTTACCCAAAAAGATTATAGGAATTAATCAAATAGATTTGCTGGAAATTGGTTCCAAAATATGTGTTCCCACATTGTCTCACAGTGGTGTCACTTTCATGTGGTCTATTGACAATTTGGTATATATAGTAGAAAAGGCTACATATTTCCTCTACTAGTACTCTGTTCTGAGTTGTGACTACTATTGGAAGTTGGAACTAAAGCAAACGTTTTCTTATTTAACCGCAGGCATCATGATCCCAATGACTTTGAGGCTAGCCACAGCCATCTACTTACCATTTGAAGAGTTTCCAGTTGTTCTTAATACTATATTAACAAACATCACATGCTCACACAACATCTTGAATTCCATCGTATTCTTCGCCATTCGTCTCTCTTTTAAGCCGGCGTTTTGTATGTCAAGCTCTATGATTTGGTATAGTGGGAAATTAGGTATAGTACGAGCTATAACTTTTTGTTTGATGAGAGAGAGAGAGAGAGAGAGAGAGAGATAAGAAACAAACAAACAAACATTGAAGAAATGGACATGGCGTCCTTCAATAAGACATTAAAATTTGGATATATATATATATATCTCCATTCTAGTGCAGCCACCACTAGCTCCAAATCAATATACTTTAAGCATATCAAAGTTTGTTCCCTTGTTGATTTTCTTGTTAATTTTCTGTTCTTAAAACTCACAGGTTCATAGCACTTTAAACTCTAGTGAAAACACTGAAGAAGATCACGGGTCACCATGAATATCTGCAAATTAAACAGTGATCCAACATTGTTTGCTGGGCTATTGTCTTTATTTGGATCCAATGTCGAATATAAACTATGTTTATCAACATTCCAACGGCACAAAAACAATTTTTTTAGAGAAAACGCCAAAAAGAAAAAAAAAGAACATCTTGTCTTCTTTTTTTAACTTGAAAACTGAAATCAAGGGGCCCGTTTGATAACAATTTCAATTTTAGTTTTTTCATTTTCATTTTTTGTGCTACAGTATAGAGGAAAAAGAAGGAGAATGTAAGTGGGAATGAGAGTGTACATGAGATTGAGAGGGAAGATGAGATGGGAGGATGGGAGGAAGGAGTTACAAAAGTTAAAACTGAAATCTATTTGAAATTGTTTTCACTTTTGTTACTACTCCCTCCCATCCTCCCCTCTCATCATCTCTAATTTTCCTCTATACTCTAGTACAAAAAATGAAAACTAAAAACTAAAATTGAATTGGTCATCAAACGGCCCTTCAATTTTAGTTTTTAGTTTTCAATTTTTGTGCTAGAGAATAGAGGAAAAAGAGGGAGAATGGAAGAGAGAATAAGAGTGAAGATGGGATTGAGAGGGAACATGAGAGGGGAGGATGGGAGGGAGGAGTATCAAAAGTGAAAACAAAAATTAAAAACTGAAATCTATTTTAAATTGTTTTCACTTTCAAGTTTTTGTTTTCACTTTTGTTAGTCCTCCCTTCCATCCTCTCCTCTCATCCTCTCTTTCAATCTCATCCTAACTCCCATTCTCAGTCTCATTTTCTTCTGTACTCTAGCACAAAAAATGAAAACTAAAAACTAAAATTGACATGGTTATCAAACGGGAATAGATACTTACAATGAACTCTAAAGTAATGACAAAAAATTTATGCTCTATTTTCCTCTCTCTCTTTTTTACTCAATTATCAAAGCACAAAATTAAAAGGAAATAGTGCAAACGAACAAAATTTAAGTTTGAAAATTGTACACTAGCGACCGATTATTTCTTATTAACTAATTATGAGAATGTTAATTTTGAATTATCATTACCATAGAAGGGGGTGGTAAGTCACTTCGCACACGATGATAATTTGTATTGGGAGCATAACTTTGGACACACGTACCGCATTATTCAATTCTGTTGTACATTATAAATAGCATAGGCCAGCGCCACAACCACAAGGCTCTGTAGACTGTAGAGTGGTTCCTTCCTCCTTACCATTGTGCTTAATCTCTGTGTTTGTTCCAGTTTCCATTAGCTTCACATATGACATTATCATCTTTGTTCCAGTTTCCATTTGCTTAATCTCAGTGTTTTACGTACTTCTGGCAAGGCAAGGCTTTGTGTTCGGAAGTGATCAAGATGTTAACAGAAGCTTGCACCTTATTGCTGTCATGGATCTTTCTGTATTTTGGTCTCTCTCTCTCTCTCTCTTATGTTTGTCTAAAGCATGGTGTGAAAACAGAATGAAAACTGATAATGCCTTAGGGTCAAGAGCTTCCATGACAGGCCACACTTATCTTTTCTTAATATATTATTTTCTTTTACAACCAAATGTTTTCTGTCATTTACATTCTGGCTAATAACCTTTTCAACTGTTACAGGGCATGGCACCAATGCTTCGTCGACAACAAGGCAGGCAAGAATCACCTCCTATACTCTCAATAATGAATATTTCTTTTGTTTCTATATGTTTGTCACTTAACGATTAAATTAAGAAATATATTTGGATATGGAGTTTTTAATGACTTGTGTATTGTGAATGCCAGCTTTAACAAGTTTGTGAAACATTGTTGAAAATGCATATAGCCAAAAGCTGATTTCAACTGTACCTTTTTCTTTAATTTTGATCAAGCAGTGCTTGGGAGATCCCTTGGAAGCTCTATATGGAGGAGGGATTGTAGTAAATCCAGAATTTAACTATAACATTGAAGGTTGGAAAGCTTTTGGAGATGGTAAAATAGAAGAACGAATATCGAAGGAAGGGAACAGGTTCATTGTGGCACGTAGTAGAAAGCATCCATCAGACAGTTTATCGCAGAAGGTTCAAGTCGAGGAAGGGAAAATCTATAGCTTTTCTGGTAAGAGTGTGGTACTTGTCTCAGCCAAAATTAAGTGTTTTATGTGTTTGTTTGTTACATGATTCTGAAAGAGCAAAATTTTGAAATGTTCAGCTTCTGTTCAAGTCAGTCAAGGAAGGGAGATTGTAGCTGTTGTCTTTAAGTTTCCGAACGGCGATGGTGTACGTGGTGGTGATGTAGTAGCTGAGGAGGGGTGCTGGACCTTGCTAAGAGGTGGCATAGTAGCAAATTTCACAAGCCCAGTGGAGATTCTTTTTGAGGTAAGGTAAAATATGAGTTTGAATTTGGATCCTCTTGTTCGTTTTGGCAAATCCTTTAAGGGTTTAATTTACTGACATAGTCAAGATTAAATGAGTTTCTTGACTGTATATGCCTTTTTTATGCATCGGTAGAGCAAAACCACGTCAGTGGAAATATGGTTGGACAATGTCTCATTACAACCTTTCACCAAGGAGGAATGGAGATCCAACCAGGACAAGAGCATCAATGAGGTAAACCCAAGCAGAATGAATCACATCAATTTAGAAAAACCATTAGCTTGCAATTTTAGTAGGCAAGCTAATGTAGACCATTCATTACTTCATAATTTGTGGATCAAATCCTGATAGGGAGTCTAGAACTATTTGATAGATTCCTAGTTAAAATGTGCTCTATTTTCCTGCAGCCTAACATTTCAATACTTTTCTGTGCTATACTTGCATACAGAGGGGGTGGCAATCCGTGTTAGCATGTCATGTTCGTATCGTGCCATTTCATGAAATTTTCTAATCGATTTAAACCCTGCAGGTACGTAAGAGTAAGGTGAGGTTACAGGTAACTAAGGCAAGTAAAACTCCTCTGAAAGGCATTAAAGTATCCATCAAGCAAATCATGTCACACTTCCCATTTGGATGTGGCATGAACCATTATATCCTCACAAACCCTGATTACCAGAATTGGTTTGCATCAAGATTTAAGTGGACCACTTTCACAAATGAGATGAAGTGGTACAGCACCGAGAAAATACAAGGCCTAGAAAACTATACTATTGCAGATAACATGGTAAAATTTGCCCAACAGAATGGGATTTCTATTAGAGGCCACAACGTCTTCTGGGACGATCCGAAGTACCAGCCTGACTGGGTTAATTCCCTTTCGCCCGAGGAACTACGAACAGCAGCAGCAAAGAGAATCAATTCTGTGGTTTGTAGATACAGAGGACAACTAATTGCTTGGGATGTAATGAATGAGAATCTTCATTTCAGATTCTTTGAGGATAACCTTGGTGAAAATGCTTCTGCAGAATCCTACTCAATAGCTCAGCAGCTTGATCCTGACACAGTTATGTTCATGAATGAGTATAATACCATTGAATATAGCGAAGACAAGAATTCAAGTGCAGCCAACTACAAGAAGAAACTTGAAGAGATTTTATCATATCCCGGAAATGCTAATCTGTCAGCCGGAATAGGGTTGCAAGGTCATTTTGGTTCTGGTCAGCCAAATCTTGCTTACATGAGATCTGTTTTAGACATGTTAGGTGCAACAGGATTACCAATATGGCTTACAGAAGTGGATGTGGGAAAAGGCCCAAATCAGGTACAACTCTGCCATATGTAAGGCAATCTGATCACCATAAAAGAAACCAGAAAACAACAGAATTGTTTTAGGACACTCTCAAGTGTAGAATTTTATGCTTTTTTTTTTTTTTTTTTT